ATGTTCAATATACATTCCATTTCCCAAGAAAGGAGATGCCAAGGAATGCGTTATAGGACCATTCATTTAGTTTCTCATGCAAGCAAAGTGATGCTTAAGGTGTTGCAACAAAAGGCTTTAACCTTATATGGATAAAAGCCTTATGTTTAAGATGGATTTTGAAAAAAAGAGGCACTTGAGATCATTTTGCAAATATCGGCTGGCTACTGGAGTGCACAAAAAAAAAATCAGATCAGTCTGTTCTTTATAGACCACAACAACGCCTTTGACTATGTAGATCAGGGGTTTCCAAACTGCAGCCCGTGGGCCACATCCAGCTTGCCTTGCCTTTTTATCTGGTCCGGTCTGTACACTGGGGCTCCCTTTGGCCCTTGCAGGGTGTGTAGGCTTCCTGTCCTGGGGGTGGCCCCTTGCTCCTCCATGCCGATCCCTTCCCTTATTTCTGCTGGTGGCAGCAGTGGAAGAGAAAGGCTGTCTCTCTTGCTGCTGCTTCGCCAGTTCTCAATTATTCATATTTTTCTTACCTACTTCCCATATTTTTCCATTTATAAGATGCCCCCGTTTATAAGAGCACGCCCTTTTCTAACCCCCAAATTAAAAAAAAAACTTACTTTTCACCCTCTAGGCTCAGAATGGTAGGACATTAGGAGTCCCTGTTGCATCTGAGCCTACAAGCTCCACCTCCAACAAGGTGTGTTCCAATTGGTTTGTACAGCATCAGCTGACACCAGTTCGATAAGGCTCATGACTGTAGGAATCTAAGTCTTGTGATTGAAGGAAGCCTGTTCACAGAGGCAAGGTACAGGCCATTTTGTTCTCTCCTCAGCTATCTCAGTTTATTTCTGTGTATAAGATGCACCTCAATTTTTAGTGTAATGATTTTAGGAAAAAGTAGTGTCTTATAAATGGCAAAGTACAGTATGCACTGTTCACCTAATGCTTTTTTAAAAATATGAAATGACATTCCTGGACAGTAAAATGTGTGTGGAAGTTGATAAAAGTAAACAGAAAATTGGCAAGGAAGACACACACAAAAAGATAAAAACAAAACAAATGGGTTGGGCTTTGCTGATTCTAGACATGTTCTAGATGGACGGTATATGTCTAATAATTAATAATAATTATTATTAATAATAATAATAATAACAACCTCGCTTCGGCAATATTTTGAAATTAAACAAGCAGTTCTATCATTCCCATTAATATTGTAGTAAGTCTGTTAATCCAAATAAAACTTCTTCATTATAAAACTGTTTCTTTCCCCCCCCTTTCGGGCCTCAAACATGTATGAAATATATGATGTGGCCCTCATACTGAAAAGTTTGGAGACCCTGGTGTAGATCATGAGAAGCTACGGATTGTTCTGAAAGAAACGAGTGTCCCTCAGCACTTTTGTCTTGATGCATAACCTGTATTGTGGACAAGAAGCTATTGTTAGGGCAGAATATGTGGACAGAATGATTTCCTTTAGGAAAGGGGGTCAAACGAGGGTGCATTTTATACATGGAGCTTCCTGTTATAAACCCTAAATACCAGCGGTGGGGTAACGTGGGATGAGTCAGGTATTACTGGTGACTTCATAATGAGTTTTTTCTGGAACATCTGGTGGAAACAGGATGCTGGCGGGAGTCAGACTCAAGGCTGGATTCCATAGTGGGCTTAATGTTTTGAAAATACACAACTGTAATCGCTCTTCGATTCATGCCTTATTTGTACAGAAGAAAACACAACAAAAAGTATGTTTGTCATACTGAGCAGCTTTGCCGATTCCCTATTAACAACAAAGAAAATTGCGGAGGACGGGGGAGGAAGGGTTCTTGTTTAACCGCATCTTTATTCTAGGACTTAATAATGGTAATATATGATGATAATAATGGCCATGTGTTTCTATTTTATTTTATGGTTTTAAAGTTTCATTCCGTGACTTACCTTAGGCAGATGTTGACCGGAAAAGCAATTCAAACATGTTTGGTGAATCATAAACAGCACAGCAGCAGGAGGAAACGGAGCCCAAAGCAAAGCGCATTTCCAAAGGGGGATTTTATAGGTTAAAATACCACAGCGATTTCTCAGGGCTGGGTGGGCGAGCAGGGTAAGGCAGACATGAATGCTGCCTTCTTTCTCTCAGTATGATGGCACATATTGGTGGCAGATGGAAAAGAATTGGTCTGAGGCTCTGGTCTGGCTCACCTCCCTCCCTTTCACAACCCTCAGTCACCGGTTCCCCCAGCTCACAGTATGGATTGGTAGAGCTCTGGAAAAATTCCTTTTTTCAATTACAGCTTCCAGAATCCCTCACTTTAATTTGAAAACTAAAGCAAAGGAAAAGCAAAGCAAAGTGTGCTGCTTATATACCGCCCCCATAGGGCTTCAAGCACTCTCTGGGTGGTTTACAAGTTAATTATGCAGGCTACGCATTGCCTCTCTTCCCACAGCAAGCTGGGTACTCATTTTGCCAACCTCGGAAGGATAGAAGGCTGAGTGAACCTTGAGCCGGCGACCTGGGATTGAGCACAGTTTTGGCTGCAGTACAGCAGTTTAACCACTGCGCCACGAGGCTCTTTCACAACAGGAGCGGGTATGTTCAGGGCGCAGTAGGAATTTCCAGAATGCCAGGGGATTTTGTTTATCCCATTTGCGGTATTCCGAGTACAGCTGCAGTGAGATACTCCATTCCTGTAAGGCAAAACCGCTGAGCTTCAAATGCCAGGTTAGGGTTCACTTGCATCTTTCACCCCTTCCTCAATTTTCCTATACAGCACATTGAATGAATCACAGACAGCAAAGCAGGATGATTAAAAGAGGCCCACAACAAAGCTCGTATTGAAGCAGGGCTTTGCAAGTTTACAAGGTTTGAGTTGGAACATCTCCAGAAGTGTATCAGAAGTAGGTGATGTTCCATATGAAGGAATTAATAATCTGTAGGAGTAGAAAATGGTGGCTTTTGGAGACAAATTGTATGTCGACAAATTACTCATGACCTGACTACTTGTTGGTGATCTTCTTGCACTTGTAATTCCCCAAAAGGTAGAACTGATTATATAATCATAGAATAGTCGAGCCAACACCTGGCTCAGTGAAGGAATCCAATTGCTGGCGATCTTCTTGCACTTGTAATTGCCCAAAAGGTAGAACTGATTACAGTATATAATCATAGAATAATCAAGCCAACACCTGGCTCAGTGAAGGAATCCAAGTCAAAGCAGATCTGACAGAGGGCTGTCCAATTTTCTCTTGAATTCCTCCAGCACTGGAGCGCTCACTAACTCCGGAGGTAATTAGTTCCATTGTCATACTGCTCTAACAGTTACGTTTTTACAAATATTCAGCCTAAATTGGGCTTCCTGTAGGTTGAGCCCATTACTACGTGTCCTGCACTCTGGGATGATTGAGAACAGATCCTTCTATTCTTCTGTATGACCTTTCAAATATCTGAAAAGGGCTATCTCATCTTTCCACAGTCTTTTTTTCTCAAGGCTAAACATGCCCAGTTCTTTCAGTCTTTCCTCCTAGGGCTTTGTTTCCAGTCTCTTGAGATCGGTAAAAGTGGCACGATGACAAGAGATTATTCTCATAACGTGGACCGACAGTGGCAGCTCTTCAGGAATGAGATTGGGATTGGCTATGGTGGCAGGTTTCCCAGAAACCTCTCAGGTGAGTCCTGGAAGGCTGGTTCCCCATCCAAAATAACAACCTGCTGGTACTGTGGTAAGTCTGACATGGAGAAGAGACTTCAAACGGTGATTTCTCGCCAGGCTCTGGAGACTGAAGTATGATGACATTGCCAAGAGGTAGGGGTTGCAGTGTGAGTTTGCCGTCACCCTATTCCAAGCGGGAGGATAAATCCCAGACAGGAAGGGTCGCATGGGCCCAACTGGAGGGTGGTCATATTTCTCCTGTTTGTCTTCCCCCTCCCACTTTGGTTCCAAAAGCAGGTGGTGGGTGTTTTACCTTGTGGTTTGCCTAGAACTGATGGTGACCAAACCAACCTTGTTGGTACAGTTGACAATGCCTGTAGGCCTTGGTACCAACAGAGATGGAACCAAGGCTGTTATCATCACTGCAGTGACCAATTGTGACAGTTTGTTCATCTAAGGAGTAGCGGTCATTGTGGAGGCTGAGACGTCGGTGGAGGCCATTTATAGACAGTCACAGATTTTAGAGGCTGTCATTTTAGAGACTAAGCCTCTGATGAAAAGACTGCCTCTCCAGCCCACACAAGACCTTGTGGAGTGAAGGTTCAAGCAACGGCTGCCTGTTTGGATATTATGATTCTTTCCCAAACAAATAAGACATTTAGAATTGGTGTTGTTGAGAGGGATTTTTAGCCCTGTAGAAGGAGAATGTCTTTAAAAGTGGCGTTGGTGCTAGAAAAGATATAGAGGATGACCCACAAGTGAGGTAAAGCAAGAACGACTACAGCCAGTTTAAACGGAAGCAGAACATACATGATGATGAACTATAAACTGTAACTACATACAAATAAGTCAGCACAGGAGAAAAGAGATGGGGAGGTTCCATAATGATGTCGCCAAGCTGGTAGATGAATAGGAACAGAAGGAATTGGAGGAAAGACCAGGAGCGTGGGCAGTGGCGTCTGAGTGGGGGTTGTGCCAAAACTCAACAGGTCAGCTTTGGGGGGTGCTGGAACATTTTGTGCAGCTGCAGTGAAACTCATGTGCACGAGTCACAGGTTAGAGCCCTAACAACATATCATTCCTGGGAGAGATCAAGAGAGACTTAGCATTTCCCAAACAGGACCCTGGAATAGGCGGAGGGGAGGGAAAAGGGTATGGTTGTCTTGGGGCTGAGATACTGATTTATCTTCACTCTGGACCAAAAGGATGGAGCATTTTAAAATGGAAGAGAGTAACAGCAACTGAATGTGGAAAAGGTCTATCTCTCTTTCCATGTTTCTGTTATATGGGTTTGCAAAAATACGAAACAACCCCCCCCACACACACACAATTATAAAAACTTCATGCTTGGTAGAAATCTGGTAGGGCAAATATAAATGTTTTATTTGGGAGAAAATGAGAAATGCATCATAAGAAAAACCTTGTTCTCTGCCAGTTTTGAGGGAGGTCATCCCATTGAGAAGAAAAATAATCTTAACAAGGAAATAGCTGCTAGGCAAGAAGTGGTTTTTCCAGCCTCGCAATTCCCAGAACAATTCCCAGAACCTGAGCTCGCCTTAAATGCTCTCTACTTTTTAAACATGAATCTGTAAATATGCAAGAATACTGAAAGGATTGTTGATGCAAAGTATTACTGGAAAGTATTTGGAACAGCACCACAAAATGGGTGCCAGAATACAGTCTGCATCGGCTGAAACTACCCAGGAAACAAATATTTTACGTATGAATGGACCACAGCAATACACTGGAACCTAACAAACAAAATGTTATCAGGTACTTTGATCGTTGCCCAGCACCACCAAAGATGGATGTTGATCTGGAAAACTTAAGTTTGACAATACAGAAGAGAATCCCTTGGTGGCTTGGAGGTAAAAAAGATCCCCGGGGGAAACTTTGTAGTCCAGGTAAAATGATTTCTCATGGCTACAAAAATCCAGGCTCAAAGGACTTGTTGAATCACCTATTTATAAAGGGATATGCTACAGAAAACTCCGTTGAAAAGGGTACTAGGTTACCTTAAAATTCTGTTCAAATTGCATTACAGGCAAACGTGTGCAGAGGAAAACAGAACTTTATTGGACAATAATCGGCGTACATTCTCTCTGGATCTTAGAAATGCAGAGGCCACCTCAGTTCCGCTGTGTTAGAAAACAGTTCCCAGCTATTTCCTTCACACGAAACTGGGAGACTCCGAGACAAAAGGTCATCCGCAGAATTTCTCCATCAAGCACAGCCCATTGGAGGAGTATGGCTCACACCGGAGCCTTGAGCTTTAATTTCCGCTACACGGCAGATAAAAGGAACAAAGCCAACCAGAAATAAAAGACTAGAAGTCAATGATAATGCTGTTATGTCGACATGAATGAGGGCAGAGCCGGGCCATGAGCCCCAGCAGGTCCCCACCCCACCCCCACCCCGGGTTTGTGACACCATCCTCTCCCATTGTTTGCCCTCTTTTCCCTTGTCATACAAATACATCTGGACATTCTTGATACAGTTCAGGTTTTAAAAAGGGATAGGAACTAGAATGCAGTATTTCTAGTGCTTCAAGCCACTGACCTCCATACAATCATCTACCTCAACAAGCTCCAGTCCCACAGGTTGAAACAAGGCAGGAGGAATCTGAGCCCCGTGCTCAGGATACCAATGCCCAAACAAAGCTGACAATCACCCTTCTTTGGGCCAAGGACGGGAGACCGCTAGATCAAGACTTCCGTCGGAATTCTTCTCTGTTCTCTTGCGAGACACCAAAAGAAGGCAACAAGCGTCTTCATCGCCTTCCAGCTAAGAAAGAACCAGACTTCTAGGGACTTCCTTGAAAAGGGAAGAGGGGGAGAGACAGAAGGATACAGAACAAAGAGTCTTGTGCAGGACACGGATGTCCACAGCGTGGTTCTTTGGTGGCCTCTTACGTGATGTCCTTCTGCCTTGGGGGACGGTGAATATTCCTGACCACGCACTTTACCATCCACTCGATGCCTTCGTTTACCCCTTTGCTGAGGGAGCATTAAAAAAAAAACATTAAAACCTGCTCACTAACACCATGTTCTTTCCATCATTAGCAATCCTTCCCATTACCCTCCCCTGGATTAATTTTTAAGTTACATTAATGGTTTATTTGGACATGACCCTGCCTGCTGGTGCTGCGGGCAAGGTATTTTGGCCCAGGGTTCTGATTCCCAACCGTCCCACAACAATAATAACTAAAAGACCGCCCCCACCCATGATTACTGAGAAATCTGGGGCAAAGCAACACATTTTTGTGTGAAACGACTAGAGAGCTGGGTGCTGGTATTGTTCAGAATCTCTCAAACTGGTCACGTTCCGAGAGGCATCCATGGTAATTCAACCTTACCATCCAGCAATCTGAAGCACTGATTTGTACCTGCTTCTGGTTGATGGATCTCAGGCCAGGAGCTAGAAGGATGCCGAGCATGGCAGTAGACCAGGGGCATTTCTGACCTGCTCCTGTAATCCTGTGTTCAGGCAGGGTCACTTGGCGAGCCCCTTTATGCATTTATGGCTGAGAGCTCTGTTTACCCTGTCAGCCTTGCCCAGGTAGCCTTCTCAGAGAAACAGGGGCTTTTTGGACTAACTGACCAGGACCTGTCAAAATGATAACCTGAGCCTCAGCCGCTCCTCGCTCCCTGCCTCTAGGTCAGATTTTAATAACGCAGGACTTTCTGCCCCTCCCAGGATGTTTTGAATGCAACCCTGGGATTCTTCTCTTTCCCAGGCTCCCTGCAACCATGAGGGCTCTTCTTGGTGACCCTGATCTCTCTCCCGCCACAGGGTTTCCCCCCAGGATGGGGCCACCTTCCTTTACTTACCCAGTCAGTGCGGAACAAGCTTGGGTCAGGCAGTCCCTCTTCCCAATTTTGTTGATGCAGTCGCTAAACGCAGTTTTGATGTCAGGGATTGACAAGCAGTTCTACAGGGGAAGGGGGAAGAAGTCAGACTGGACTATTTGCAAGGCACCATCTGGAGATGAAAATAAGCCGTGCTAGATAAGGCCACAGGTCCAACTGGTTCCATCTCTGGCGGCCAATCAAGACACCTCTGGGATGCCTGCTCGTGCGACATGAGCGCAACGGTATCTTTCCCCAGAGAGGTTACAGAGATCAACTGATGCATAGAAGCAACAAGGTGTCTTTTAGTCTCTTTATCAGCATCTAGTTTTAGTTGGCACAAGTTTTGGGGATGCATCTGAAGAACTGGGCTAAGATTCATGAAAGCTTACAGCAAAAAGAAGTGATTGGTCCTATAAGATCCCACAATACTCCTTGTTTTTCCAGCTGTATCTCTGTTTTCACCTGCTCCAGCAACTGATACACAGAGGCATGCTTCCTCTGTTACTGGAGATGGCATCCAGTGATCCTGGCTGGTATAATGCATTTATCCAGTCCCCTTTAAAGCCACCCAGATTAGCAGCTATCACCTTCTGACAGTGAGTACCACAGTTTAACTAGGTGGTATGTGAAGAATCACTTCCTCTTACCTGTCCTGGACCTCCTGTCATTCAAATTTGGTGGATGACTCTGGATTCTCTGCACTGCACATACATTTATGCACCACTAGATAAGTTTTTACCATGTTTCCCCGTACTGATCTTTTCCTGAGCTGAGCAGCCCCAGACATTGCCGTCTTCCTTCAGAGATTTGATCCAGCTTTCTGATTAATTTGGTTGACCTTCTTTGTACCTTTTCTAAGTGTGGTGATCAGAACAGTATGCAACGTTGCAGACGGGGTTGCTCTGTGAGTATATGAATGCAATATGATACTGGCAGCTTTTTTAAAAAAAGTTCTAATTCTCATTATGCTCAATGTGGAGTTGGCTTCCCCCATGACTTTGTTTTGTTTTTTGTTTCTTTAAAGTCGCTGCACTAAGGATCAAATGTAATTTATAGAATCACAGAATGGTTGAGTTGGAAGGGGGCCCTCAAAGGCCATTGAGTCCAACCCCCTGCTCGAGAGGCAGGAATCCAAATCAAGGCAGATCTGACCAGAGGGTGGTCCCATTTTCTCCAGAGATCGTTCAGGATTGATTTGCTCCAAGACCCACCTGTTCATCTTTCTGGCATTCTGGCGTATCTACAAACCTCTCCTCGAGCACCACATATCAAATGAATTAATGTTATTTCTGTCAACTTTTTTTACTGTCCAAATTTGCTATTCATACGGCTATTATGTGTTGGTTAACAGAGGGTCCCAAGGAATATTAGAACATCAGTTTGTACATTATATATTAAGTAAAGACCAGACTTTGACTATGTTGACAACTAAAAAGACAAAATAAGTGGGAGTGTCACAATAGTTAACTCTCCTGACACATAACCTCTGGTATTTTGGACAAGACACTGCTATTAGGACTGATTATGGAGAAGCAGAAAGGTTTCCAATTAGCAAAACTATCAGACAAGGGTACACTTTTACCCCACTGCTTTTTCAGTCTATATACAGAATATATCATATGGAAAGCTAGATTCGATTCAGGTGAAAGAGTGAAAATTGGCAGAAGAAGCATAATTTGAGATATACAAGCGACATCACCATCACGCTGGCAGCAAATAGCAATGATGTGAAATGACTCTTGATGAAAGCAAAATAAGACAATAAACCAGCAAATACCTCCCCCTGGAGGGAAACATACAGCACTGCAGTTTTCTAAGATTTCAGAAATGTAAGGTACTGTAGAATAGAAAAGACACCCACTAGGCTAAAATCTATTTATTTATTACAGTACTTTAATTCATATACCACTCCCATTAGTGCCAAAGTACTAGAATGCCAGAATCCCCAGGAACTGGAGAGGTCATCAGGAAGGACAGGCTGTTTCGTCCATAGAATTTTGGTCCAGTTTTTGTGCATTTCAGTCAACATGGCCAAAACAGAAGCTTGGTGGATTTTATGATAGATGGGAGTGAAAAATACCTTACATGCTCTCTTGAATGTACTTTGCTGCCAAAGTCAACATTTCATGTATTGCTGCTGCCTGCGGCTGTCAGGTGAATCCTGATTTACGGCCGCCCTTTCCAAGATGGATTTTATGATAGATGGGAGTGAAAAAAACCTACATGCTTTCTTGAATGTACTTTGCTGTCAAAGTCAACATTTCATGTATTGCTGCTGACTGCGGCTGTCAAGTGAATCCTGATTTACGGCCGCCCTTTCCAGGGTTTTCCAGGCAGAGAATACTCAGAAGAGGTTTAGTTTTCCCTTCTAGGGAAGCCCTGTGCAGCTTGCCCAAGGCTGCCCAGGCTGGCTCTACCCACAGGAGGCACCGTGGGGAACTGAACTCCCAACCTCTGGCTTTGCAGCCCAGACCTAAACCACTGAGCTATCTAGCCAGCTTGACTTCACATATTAAGGGGTGACAAATCTATGTCTATCACCCAGAGGCAATCTGCTATAGGGGACCCAAAGAAGCCACTGGCAAAAAGACGTGCCAATATCCACAATAATTTATTTATTTATTGCATTTATATGCCGCCCATCTAGACATAGTCTACTCTGGGCGGCTAGTCTACAATTCTGCACATTAGAGATCAAAAGCCTATCCTGAAAACAAACAGGTCCCCTCTTACAATGAGCCTGCTCTAGTTTAGAGACAATCTTCTTATCTACAGTAGCCGGTCTCCAGGCACCAGACAAAGAGAGCAGCGTGATGCCAAGGCCCCTCAGCAAACCTAAAGGCCAGCTTGGTTCCTGTACCACCCCAAGCAGAGCTACCTTAAGACTCGAAATCATCAGTCACAGTATCACAGTGTCTCATCTGCACACCTTCTAACATTATATAAGCTACTGTGTTGCTGGCAAACCTTTTGGCCTTCTATGTAGGATGCAGAGATCAGTTTTGGCCCAAAAGAACGAACCAAAGTCTGAAACCACAAGCAATACGCCTCAAATAGCACGCCAAAAATATCTCCAGCTCCGTGGACAAACTGATGATGAACCGTCTATTCTCCACTACGGGAGTACTAAAAAAAACGCCAGCATGAAATGGCTGAATTAGAACTAACCAAGAAGTTTGATTTCTTGGGTTTGGCTCAGAAATGAGGCAGTGGTTAACGGTTTCACTACAGGTGGAAATGCAAATTAGTGTAGGGAAGCTGGAACAATTACCGCAGTTTTAGAAGAGGCAGCTGTACTAGTTTAAGAAAGCATATCAGAAAAGCAAAATAAAAGAGACAAAAGCTTTGTGACACCTTAAAGACTATTATATTTTAATATAAGCTTTCATGTATCTTCTTAGACACTGTAACAGCGTCTAATCCCTGTTTTCGTCCTCATCTGTCTGATGGAGTGGTCTAAGAAGGTCCACGAAAGCTTACATTAAAATACAGTATAATAGTCTTTAAGGTGCCACAACATGATTCTCTCTCTCTCTCTCTCTCTCTCTCGCTTTTTTTTTTTTTTACTTTTCTTTGGGTATTGCCTGATATGGAATCATTATGTTATCACTAATTACAGCTGTTGTGAGCAGCCACTTATCTTAAGCATTACAAAGAACTGTGATTCTGAGCTGGTATTTCTCCACCATTTGATTCCAGTGCTTACACATCCATATATTTTTTTTGTACATGAACTACCAATCGATGTTAATATGCCATGCATTTCATGATGGATTCTAACCCAAGCCAGTTTATGAAATAATGGTCTCAATTTAATGTTGCACCAGGGGCTGCAAAAATAAATAATTTTTCTTTATTCTTTCGCTCTCCCTCTCCATTCCTCAATTCTTTGTGTTGCCCGAAGAGCAACTTTAGAGGGGTTCACAGTCTTTTTACATGCTGCCTCTTATCCCCTGCACCTTGAAGGTGCCACATGACTCTCCTTGTTTGTTTGTTTTTTTAGTTAACTTTCTTGGAAGTTAGAACAATTTGAGATTTATATCCACTATTTCTGGCACCAAAAACATCACAGAAGAAGCTATGAAGAGACAGGCTGGAGCCATGAATTACACATCAGCACAAAGAGGCAAACATCCTCTAGATTCTGAAAGAACAAGCTTAGCCTGCATAGCTTCTATCTTATCTTTTTTTTTTTTTTTCTTTCACCCTGATTATTTTATTCTCCTTTGTTCTTAGTTTTATAGCTTCAACTTTTGTTTTCACATCGTTAAATGCTCTGAAAGTCTGCAGATAGAAAGTAGCCTACAAGTACTCATATTAATAAAATAATGAACACAGTTAAACACCTCTAATCAGGTTACGGAAACTCACCTCTACATCTTGTTTGTTAGCCAGAACCAACAAGGGAACACCTTCAAGTAGTTCACTGCTTACCATCTTCTCTGTGGGGAAGGATATAAGGGAACACAAAATTAGGGAAACTGCAGCAAATCTAGTCCAAGGCAGCACCAATAAGATGCTTTGGCAATTAAAAAAAAATAAGTGGGAACATGGCATGCATATCATTTCTCAGTCAAGTCAAAGAATCAACTTCTCATCCATGCATAGTCAAGAGAACCAAAATTTAAAGTGTAACAGAGAAAAGTCAGAGGTTCCACATTCCTCACCTGGAGAAGCTGAGCTGAAATCTTATAGGTAACCAAGCCTGCTGACTTTAAATAAAGCTATACTTCAAGAAGTAACAAGGTAGATTTGATTTAAATCAATCTGATTTTGAAAAAGTCATTTATTTTTACCCACCTTGAGAAGCAAGAACATGTCTCTGTTTACTTAGAGATGCTCAACAGAAGAATGTGCTTTCTGTTCCCTAGGAATCAAACACCCCCCTCTCCCAAGACACTTCCCAGACAATTATCTGCATACCCACCAAAAGCTCGTTTCGATTCTGAAAGCCTCTCCTCATCCGTGGAGTCAATGATATAGATGACACCATGAGACTCTGCGTAATACTGGAGTCATATAAGACAAAAATGGATGCTTTATCAGAGCATTATCTCTTTAAACACAGTAAATCAACACCATCTGGCCTAAGAAAAGTGTATGTTTCATTCCCACAAATCTATGAAACTCTTAATTAGCCAGCTTCCATTGGACAATATACCAGAAAAACATTCCCTCTGGGAACACAACGGGTAAAAATATTTTATATAAATTAATAGAAATTATTTTTTTAAAAAACAGGAAGCAGTATTGGGTCATTAGAAGAATATTCACAGAAACAGTAAAATCCCACTTTACTTAGGCTCTACTGTACTATATTCAGAACACGCATTGTTCTGAAGAAGAGTTTTATTTTATTGTTCCTGTGAAATACTTCTCTGTCTTTAGGAGAATAACTGAGCCAGATTCTGATTCTATACCACTGGCCACACTGTGATGATGATGCCCACACATTCTGTGAGCCGTGACAGAAGGTCCAAGGACCCGATCAATGTCAGGAGAACAGAGAAAGCTCCCGGTGCAACACCATGAGATCACTGTTGCTTGACCCTGAACAAATGCTGATTGCCCCTGGGACAAGAAAAGCTTCTGCTTTGCACACTGAGGTCTTGGATGCTTCACTGTGGAGGTGGCCAAAATGTGATACCACCTATGCTTTGGCCCAGAAGTTCCCAACCCTGAGTCCTAGATGTTCTTGGACTGAAACTCCCCAAGATTTCTTGTAGTACAAGAAGATTTGGGGACTCAAAGTTGGGAGGCACCACTTTGGCCCACCGCAGACACTGTCTGATGCGGTAAGATTCTGGCTTGTATGTGATGTGACAGAAGAGTTCCAAAGACCTCTTTGGACACCAAGAAAACGAGCAGAACTGGATAAAATATGAAATTCCAACTGCCTGTTCTATATCTCTATAAGATTTGCCTGTTACAGGACACTTTGGATTAACCTCGTGAAAATCCATAGGCCATATTAGCCATGATTTCAACAAAAGCCCAGGTTCTGTGCAGGTACGATTTACCCAGGTTGTCTATGTGGGCAGGACAACACAAATATTCCCCTGTAGGAACTCCAACAAGAACCTCATGAACCCTCCCAAAAGGATTCCTAAGACAGCATAGCATTTCTCAAAACACAGCTGCTTGCGGTACCTTATCCCAGAGAGACTGTAGCTCCTCTTGTCCTCCAAGATCCCAGAACATAAGTCTAGCTTTGCCCACATCAATTGTGCCAACTAGGAGACAGAGACAGAAAATCCAGTGTGAATGCTTTAGTACCAAGCTGAAATGCATCATCTGGAAATTATATCTGTCTGCTCTAATTCAACTACTGACATTAACCAGAAGATTATTAAGCGTTCTTCAAGGAAGAAATCACGGAGTAGGGAAGCGCCTGAGGGATCAGGTCCAAGCACTAAGGACCTATCAAGGCCACACCAGCCACAGAAAGAGCCCCAAATTGTCATTAAAACAACAACAGTAGCAAACAGGAAGCCCAGATGAGTACTTCCGCATTGTAGGGTAGAGGGATGGCAGACTCTTGAGATGCTCCTAAAATGCTGATCCCAAAAGCATTTTTGTCCACTCCAAATTTTGTCGTTTTGAACTCCATGGTACTTTGGGGTGGCTCTGGGGGTGGGGGCTGCTAGACACTTGATCCACCCTATAGGCTGATAAAATGCAGCCTACTGGTTACACTTTCTCCATTCTATTTCTCAGAATGGTGACTGGCTCCTCGTTACCTGGTTTCCCCTGCAATGTGTTCCCAAAGCACGTCCGGAGTGATCCCTCGGTTTATGCAGGCAAATCATGCAGCTTACCATAAATGCAAGCAGGCAAATACTTTTCTCTTCAGGCAAACTTCCTCTGAATGACTGGCTGCCTGAGTAGTTTTAAATCGATTGCTAAACCTTGCTGCTTTGAATGTGTTTATTTATTTATTTTATTAGATTTATACCCCACCTGTCTAGACACATAGTCTACTCTGGGCGGCAAATGTGTTTTGGTGTTGCTTATGTTTTTCGGTATGTTACCTGTTTGATCCTTTTTTTATATTTGCATACTCACTGTTTGTTAGCTTTAAACATTGTGTTTTAATGATGTAAGCCACACTGGGTCCTTTTGAAGGAGAAAGGCAGGGTAGAAATATTTTAAATGAACCAAGTAAATGAATAAATAACTGCTCCATTCTCTAGGTTAAATATGTGTGTGCCTTAGAAAATTACGGAGTTCCTTTTGCAAGATCAATTGAAATAGAGTATATACACTAGAAACGGAAGTAGCAAGTAGCAAAAATGTCTGATTTATTCAGAACTTGAAGCAAGAAGAGAGGCCAATGAAATGTCCAGTCAATATCTCACTCAAGAAAAATTCAAAAGAAGAGGCTTGGGATTAAATTTTATAGACCAGACATGCAATTCATAATAATAATAATAATGTGCCATCAAGTCAGTTCTGACGAGTGGTGACTCTCTCAGTTTTTTAGGTACAGTGGTGCCTCATATTACGACGTTAATTCGTTCCAGCGAAATCGCTGTAGAACGAAAATGTCGTAAAGCGAAAATAAAAAAGCCATTGAAAAGCATTAAAACCTGGTTAATGTGTTCCAATCGGCTAAGAACTCACCGTCCAGCGAAGATCCTCCATAGGGGCGGCCATTTTCGGGTGCCTGTGCAGCAAAAAATGGCTCCTAACCACAGCGGGGAGCCATTTTGAGCACCTGGCGGCCATTTTGAAAACCCGACGATCAGCTGTTTTGATCGTCGGGAAGCGAAAATCGGTTCCTGAAACAGGGAACCGATCATCGCGCAGGGAAATTTCCCCATTGCTTTTGCGATCGCAAAAACCTCGTCGTAATGAGGATTCGTCGTTAAATGGAGCGCCCGTCTTGCGAGGCACCACTGTGTAAAGTGTTCTGACCTGGTTTACCAGTCCCTCCTTCTGGTAGTATTCTGGGACCTCAGTGCCCAAAGCCATACAGGCTGGCTCTTCTCCAGGAAGGCGCAGGAGACAAACTAACTCATGGCCTTGGTTCCAAGATCAGATGCTCCAATCCACTGAGCTACATAGTCAGAGCTACAAGACATCTGTACAAACATTGTTTCCATTAATCAAACAGTTATCTCACTAGCATGGCAAAATCCTATTGTGTTAACTTTGTGCTGGTGTAAACCCGATCGGGGCAGAGGAAATTATTAATTTAAAACTTCCTAATCCTCATTTCAGTGTTCAAGGCTTTTAAGGCTCCCTTTTGACCTTGAGGGGAATCTGTAAAAGACATAAATCACCACTATATTGCCACCTTCAGGGATAAGACCTCCAGCAGCTATCCAGTAGCAATTTTTGACTTTTCAAGTCTCCCCATCACCCACAGCTCCCAAAGCCTTCCAAGGGTAAAAGAGAACCCTAGGCAGATTCAGAAACTGAAACTTGGGTGGTGTGAAGCTTTACATTAATTATTTCAGGCACCCCAATCTAATTTACACCAGCAACAAACTGACACAGTAGGATTTTGCCCATTATTAAACAAAAAGGTCTGACTTCTTTGCCTGTACAAAGATGAACATCCTTTATTCCTCACACATTTTAATAATACAATAATACGCTTCAGAGCTTGGGCATGTGTTGTGGGGTTTTTTACTATAAAGTAGAATCTTCTGTATCCATGGGATCTTTGTCCATAGTTTAACTTATCCATGGTTTGAAAATATTAAAAATATTAAAAGGAAAAAAAACACAGAAAAAAAACATGTTTTCACATGTATTACCAGAACCTGTCACTAGAGAGAGCCAGAGACTGTGCTATGAATTCTTGTTGTTGAAGAATGGCTAGTAAGATCTCTGGTGCCCTCCAATGGCCAGTTCTGGTAATGCATGTGAAAACACTTTTTTCTGGATTATTTTCTTTTAACATTTTTAATGAAATAGAGTATTACTATTAAAATGTGTCAGGAATGAAGGAAATCATTTTTCCCATTTTTTTTCTTTTACCATGCTAGATATAGCATTCACTATAATGCACAGTTTTTCGCATCCACAAGGGTGTTTGGAACGAATCCCTCAGAGATATTGGGCGTGTGTGTGTCCTACTGCAATGCCCAGAATCCCCCAGTTTGCATGGTAATTTTCCCAACATCTATTCAAGAATACATAAGGATTACAATTCATGGTTTTAAATACTATAACTAGTGAGTTGCCTCTTTTAAAAATGTTTAACACTATATTTCCTAAATACCACTCCTGCCACCTTGAACTTTTATTTCCTTTAAACAATCAAGATTCACTTACTGTTCAATCCCACCGTAGTTGTGATTTTAGATAAGCTCATCCCTTTGTAATTCTTGTTAAATCTTGTTTTAGTCTGTTCAAGGAAAGTCTGGTGGGTAAAACAAAGAGGAAGAGCAGTAAAAAGAAACCAGGTTATTTAACGTTAAGTATTTTGAGGAAACAGGAAAAGCTTCGTGTAAAACTAGGGTAGCAAGATTTATAACTGCAAAAAAAAAAAGATTTTTTGCTGCTATCTATCAATGCAAGTTCTGTCCCCAAATTTGTAGCATACATACAATTCTTACCAAAAAAATCTGTTTATAAAGAGATATAACATTCTAAACCAGGAATGGATCAGCATTGGATCAAGGAATCAGTGCTGAAACAAAAAGCAGAATCACTGGGATAATCTGGTATTCCTCAGTGACTTTTTTAAAGGAATTCTGTCCAAATTTTTAAAAAATCATCATCATCATCAAAAGGATTTTAAAAACCCACTGGGTATCAAAATGCTAGAAACTCAAACCAATGGAAAGACTAGCCATAGATGATCCAGTGACTGGTGATCACAGCCATTCTTAATGGGGGGCTATATGGGCCCCTGGGGGCGTTCGCCCCTTTGGAGGGGGCACAGATTCATCTGTTCATGTTATATCCTTTTTTTGCACACATCTGAAGGCTTTCCATGTTTGACAGGCAGCCCTGGAACTTGAGAAGAGCTCTTTAAAGGGCTGTGGCCAAAAAATAAAATAAAAAAAGAGTGGAGAATGACTGTACTAAGGCTGATGTACGAATGTCGTTTCCTAGAGGGCTTATTCTAGGGATGATCTTCGCCCCTTATCCAGCACGCCGGAAACTACCGCACTACACCCATGAAGAAAGGAACCGAGGCACTGGAAGAAATCAGAATGGGTTCTCCCATGAATGAGCACCGGCACACACCGTTTTCCCAGCATTGTCTAGTCCGAGGATCAAAATGCAGTACTCATCCCGCCGAAACATATATTTGTAAAGCCCAGACAGCAAGGTATACATCTTGTTCCTAGAAAAGAAAAGAAAATGAAATGAAAACTAAAGCCAAAATTAGATGGTTAGAAACAAAGTCCTTGCCTCTACCCCCATTCTCTCGCTCTTGGCCCATGGCTGTGGGATGCTGAAACCATTTACGCATCATCTACACCAAAGCTGTTTTCCTGTAAGTTGTGTAAACATTTCAAATGATATAACTGTGTACTGTATTCAGGGGCTGATCAGACAGATTCCAACCACAGAACAGCCACCCCCATTACAGAGAAGGTACCCAGTTCCACTCCCACTGGAAGAGGCTTAGCCAAGTTGCCCGTCAACATGCCCCATTAAATGATATTGGGTGGCATTCAAGGGAAAACAAGTCTTTCTGTCTTTTGGAAGTAGAGTCATGGTAGCTTCTTCAGAAGCTACTTGGATGAGTCGCAAAACATTTCAATTTAATAAGGAAGTCCAATTGCCATGACTCAGCTTCCAGATAATTTCACTGGATGACGGAGAATCTTCACAGACACGTTTATGTCATTGTTGTTGTTTCAACAACACAGTGTTGAAGAACTCCCTGGGAGGTTTGCAACATAAGTATGCAAACAACATGTTGCCCTCCAGAGAGCTGGGTACTCATTTTACTAACTTTGGAAGAATGGAAGGCTGAGTAATCTTTCATAGGATTTAGGCAATATCTCAAGGGCGTCAAGCTCCTTGCTCTAAAATCCAGCCCTTGTTTCTCAGAAACAGCTCCTGTGAACTCCTTTTGAACTGTACATTTTTATCGTTTTGACTAATGTTACTTATTTGAACCATTCACTTATTCGTACAAGCAAATATGTACTGATGAGAAGCTTCTGGAAATATCATTCTAAAGGTGGGTGAGGAGAGATGGGGGCTCCCACTTTTCGTGAAAACCGTCCTCCAGGTCAACCCGGGACAAAGCAGCAGTCTTCATAGCTGGCTCAATAAACCAGAAAAGGAGACAAATACTGCTAAAAGCAGATTATGAGGTATACTGTCTGCGTATTGTGTCACTTTCCTGGACTTCTTTATCTGTTGGCATCATCCTTGGAGAGAAACTTGCAATTTGAAGGCCTTTCAGATCCAATTTCATTTCTAACTGAGGTACATGAAGTTGGATTCAGAAACTTTCTTCCCACTTCGGGGTTTAGAAACATCCAGTGTGGGCTGGTTACGAACAGGAGACACTCTGGTAGGGAGAGGTCAGATAATCCAGAGAAGGGGGCAAGTTTTTCTAGCCTTTCCTCCCAAATCCAGTGTCCTTGATCAGTCAGCTATAAACAATGCAATACATTGTCAAAATAATTTTGGAACTGTAGTCTGTTTCTCTCCCACACCTCCTCAAGCTCTCCTGTGCTCAACTAGTGTCCTGCTAGAGTCAAAATATCTCCTTTTTCTAATATTTTAATGGTCCAATAAAAGTATACCCAGCCACCCTTGATATCATATCATATAAACCAACCAACCAACCAACCTATCCATCTATCTATTTGTATACCACTTATCTAGCCTAAGACCACTCCGGGTGGTTCACAACATGCTCAAACAATAAAGCAATACTACAGATACAAATGTTACAATACTACAGACCTTTCAACATCACATCATATCATATAAACCAACCAACCAACCAACCTATCCATCTATCTATTTGTATACCACTTATCTAGCCTAAGACCACTCCGGGTGGTTCACAACATGCTCAAACAATAAAGCAATACTACAGATACAAATGTTACAATACTACAGACCTTTCAACATCACAGTACAGTGGAACCTCTACTTAAGAACTTAATCCGTTTTGGAATGGTGTTCTTAAGTTGAAATGTTCTTAAGTTGAAGCAAAATTTCCCATAGGAATGGACTGAAAACCAATTAATCCATTCTGGCAGTTTTTTTGTTATGTAGAGGTGCATTTGTACATTGAAGCATTAGTTCCCATAGGAACTAATGCAAAGCTGGTTAATACATACTCTACCGCTAGGGGGAGAATTTTTTTTTAACCTAAGATGACCTAAGGTTAAAAAAAGAGCAGGAAAGGGTTTTTTTTCCTGTTCATATCTTGGATTTCTGTTCTCAAGTAGAAGCAAAATTTAGCAAATGGAGCTGTTCTTAAGTTGGATTGTTCTTAAGTAGGGACGTTCTTAAGTAGAGACCCCACTGTAATCCAAGTTTATGCACCAACCACCAATGCTAAAGAGGCTGAAATTGACCAATTCTATGAAGACTTACAACACCTTCTAGAACTGACACCAAAGAAAGAGGTTCTTCTCATTCTAGGGGATTGGAATTCTAAAGTCGGGAGTCAAGAGATAAAAGGAATAACAGGAGAGTTTGGCCTGGGAGTTCAAAATGAAGCAGGGCAAAGGCTAATAGAGTTTTGCCAAGAGAACAAGCTGGTCATCACAAACACTCTTTTCCAACAACACAAGAGGTGACTCTATACATGGACATCACCAGATGGGCAATACCAAAATCAGATTGATTATGTTCTCTGCAGCCAAAGATGGAGAAGCTCTATACAGTTAGCAAAAACAAGACCTGGAGCTGAACCAAATCCCTTATGAATACAGTGGAAGTGAAGAACAGATTTAAGGAACTAGATTTGGTGGACAGAGTGCCTGAAGA